AGTGGGTGACACTGTCGGGGCCAGGACAGTGGGTGACACTGTCGGGGGGGGGCCGGGACAGTGGGTGACACTGTCGGGGGGGGTGGGGACAGTGTGTGACACTGTCGGGGCCGGGAAGGTGGGTGACACTGTCGGGGAGGAGCAGGGACGGTGTGTGACACTGTCGGGGCGGGGACGGTGTGACACTGGCGGGGAGGAGCAGGGACGGTGTGTGACACCGTCGGGGCGGGGCGGGGGCGTGCCCAAGGTCGTGGCTCCCCGGGAAGGCGGAAGCTGGTCCCGGCTCCCCCGTGTGCCGGGGCCAGAGGGGCCATGGCCGGGGCCGGCTGGGCCCCGCCGCGCCTGGACGAGTTCATCCTCACCGAGCGCCTTGGCTCCGGCACCTACGCCACCGTCTATAAGGCCTTCAGGAAGGTAGGGCCTGGCCCGCCGCGGGGATCCCCCTCCTGCCCCTCCATCTGCTCTGCCACTCCCATGGGACCCCCCCTTTTCCAGCCCTCCACGTGGGGTACAACCCCTACAGCCCCAGCCTGGGACCTGCAGCCCCCAGCCTGGGACCTGCCACCCCCTCGCAAGGGTTCCTCCCCTCTTCTCTGGCAGACTGGGGGAGCACCCCAGGACGGCTGTTTGGGTGGGGGGCTGCAGGGTTACCCCCGTCCTTGGCAGAGGGACGTGCGTGAAGTGGTAGCCATCAAGTGTGTGAGCAGGAGGAGTCTGAACCGGGCGTCCGTGGAGAACCTGCTGACAGAGATCGAGATCCTCAAGACCATCCGCCACCCGCACATCGTGGAGCTCAAGGACTTCCAGGTGGGCTGGGGGCTTCCTGGGGGGCGCTCTGAGCCAAAACTGCTCTGGCTTGGGTCCATCCCGGCTTCCCAGGGGTTGTATCAGTGTTGCTTGGTGGCAGCAACTGGGCAAACTGGTCCAGGCGAACCTGTGTGGGTGGAACTGGTTGGTGTAGCATGATGGGGTCTTATTTCCTTGCAGTGGGACAGCGACCACATCTATCTGATCATGGAGTTCTGCGCTGGGGGCGACCTCTCCCGCTTCATCCGGATGCGCAGGATCCTCCCCGAGAAGGTGGCACGCATCTTCCTGCAGCAGCTCGGTAAGGACACACTCCCTGTTGGGGACCCTCCCTGGGGGTTTTTTGGGGCAGGGCCACACTGCCATGTGCCCGTCCACCCGCCCAGCCTGCGCCCTGAAGTTCCTCCACGACCGCAACATCTCCCACCTGGACCTCAAGCCACAGAACATCCTCCTGAGCACGCCGGAGAACCCCCAGCTGAAGCTGGCAGGTCAGAGCAGCTCCCTGGGAGGGGCTGGTGGGGGAGAATTCTTTCTCCTTGTCCCTCCATGAGCCCTTTCCCTGCCAGATTTTGGCTTTGCGCAGTACATGTCGCCGTGGGATGAGAAGCACGTCCTGCGGGGCTCCCCCCTCTACATGGCCCCTGAGATGGTGTGTCGCCAGCAGTACGATGCCCGCGCAGACCTGTGGTCGGTGGGCGTCATCCTTTACGGTGGGCTTTGGCTTTTATCTCCCCGGGGGGTCCACTCAGGGCAGGTTTCTCCCTCTCCAACTCCCCCCAATTCTCCTTCTCCTCCTGCAGAAGCACTTTTTGGGGAGCCACCCTTTGCTTCCCACTCCTTCACCGAGCTGGAGGAGAAGATTCGCAGTGACCGGGTTGTGAAGGTAATGTGGGATGGGATGGGGTGGGATGGGATGGGATGGGATGGGATGGGTTGGGTTGGGTTGGGATGGGATGGGTTCTCACAGCAGTCAGTGGTCTCAGCCCCTTCCCTCCCCAGCTTCCCAGCCGACCCCAGCTCTCCCCAGAATGCCGGGATCTCTTGGGACAGCTCTTGGAGAGGGACCCTCTGAAGCGCATCTCCTTCGAGTGCTTCTTTGCCCACCCCTTTGTGGACATGGAGCACGTCCCAGGCCCTGAGAGCCTGGGCAAGGCGGTGAGCGGGGAGCTGGGGGGCTGCACCCTGGGAATGTGGGGAGGCTGAGCCTTGAGCCCCACCTCGTGTCCCCCAGACTGACCTGGTGGTGGAGGCAGTGAAGAAGGATCAAGAGAGGGATGCCAACGCCGCCCTCTCCCTCTACTGCAAAGCCCTGGAGTATTTCGTGCCAGCACTGCACTGTGAGTCCCCCTTGGGGGCTCTGTGTGCCCTGGGTGTGTTTTGGGGGACAGCACCCCAGGAGAGGTCAGTTTTCAGCTCACCCACCCCAGTGTTTGGTCTCCTTCCCCCGCAGATGAAAGCGATGCACGGCGGAAAGAAGCCATCCGGGCCAAGGTGAGCCAAAAACCCCTGGGAAGGTGAGGGGCCACCCCCCCATCCTCTGTCCCCCGGTGACATCCCCTCACCCCCCAAATGTGCACAGATGGGGCAGTACATCTCCCGAGCAGAGGAGCTGAAGGCTTTGGTCAACTCCAGCAACAAGAACCTACTGGAGAAAGGGAACCCAGCTAGAGAGCTCCTTAAAGGTGGTGGATTTTCGGGGATCCCCTGGTGTTGGAGCGGTTGGGGGGCACTGGTGGGGTTTTGGGCTGAAGGGTGAATGTTTTGGGCAATCCCCATTGCCATGTCTCCTTGCAGAGATGGCCAAGGACAAGCCTCGGCTCTGCGCAGCGCTGGAAGTGGCTTCAACTGCCATGGCCAAGGTGAGGGGTGGGTTTGGGGCCCCACTCTTCCCTCAAGTGGAAGGGGAAGGAGCAAACCTGGTGGGGAGGGAGCTGATGGATCCTCCCCAGCTGCAGCCAACTCCTGGGATCTCTTGCAGGAGGACGAAGGCGGGGATGATGGTGACGCCCTGGAGCTGTACCAGCAGAGTCTGGGGGAGCTGCTGCTCCTCCTGGCTGGTGAGTTGGGGCTGTGGTGGGGGCTGGAGGGCAGGGGCGGATCCTGCTCCCATGCCTCATCCAGTGGCACATCCCTCTTTCCTCTGCAGCGGAGCCAGCAGGGCGGCGACGGGAGCTGCTCCATGCGGAGGTGAGTGCCAGCCATGGGACACCCACCTGTCCCCCTTGACCTGACTCCAAAGAGACTGTGTCATCTCTCTCTCTCTGCCAGATCCAGATGCTGATGGCCCGAGCTGAGTACCTGAAGGATCAGATCAAGGTACGGTTGATGGGTGTGGGTCTGGAGCTGAGCGAGGATACAGGCTGGGAAACTCTCCTCTCCCTTGGCAGATGCGGCAGGCACAGTCCATGGGCAAGGAGGCGCTGGCAGAGCCCGTCCGGAGTGGTGAGTCCCCCTTTTTGGAGGGGACTGGTGGGGAATATCCCTCCAGCTGCCACAGCCATGAGGATATCCCTGCCCACGGGTGATCCCGACCCCGCACACCGTCGTCTCCCCCCAGCATGGGGTCATCCAAGTCTGGGAGCCCACCTGGACAGGGTGACAGTGGTGTGTGCAGCCAGGTGAGTCCCCTCTGTCCCCCGGCACAGCCTGTACCTTGCAGTGATTCCCAGGAGCCGGCCAGTGGATGCTGCTCACTGCCCTGTGCAGAGATGCCGTCGGAAAGACGAGGCTTCCGTCCCTGCCGCATCAGGGTAACACCTCAGAAGTCACCCTCGGGCTCCAATCCCCGGGGGGTCCACAGGGCCATCTGCCTCCTCTCCCAGGCACTGGGCTCGTTTCCCTCCTGACCCTGCCTCGACCGTCTGCTGCTGCAGCCTCCCCTTCCACGGCGGGCGGGTTATTCCACTCTAATTCCCTCCGCTGGCTGCCACGGGATGGGTATTTTTATCTTGGCACCGGGCTCCAGCAGAATATCCACCCTGATTTTTTGGCTGGGTGTTTCTTCCACCTCCCAAATTCTGGGGGAGCATCTGCACAGCCCAGGTCCACGGATCCCAGCCGGGAGCTCGGGGTGGTCAGGGATGCTCTGCTGTGCCTTCCTCACCCAGCATTCTACCTCTGTACCCACCATGGCTCATCCAGCCTCCAGCACCCCCTTGCACTGTCCCAGCCCAGCCATACCTCCCTCTCACTGCTGGAGCATTGGGAATGAGGCTTTTTGTTTCCAAACCTGGAGTCTGGCAGGTACTGACTGCATCATCATTGTCATGCGTGTGAGCAGTGTTCAGCAGGGACTGACTGAGTCTGACATGAGCGGGAATCAACCACCCTCAGGGGCAGACATCCTCGGCATCCTGCATGCTCTGCTCTGCTCCTCAGGGCTCTGACAACCCCAAGATCCAAACCATATTTCTGGCAATCACTTGTCAGGGCAGCTGAGGTCCACCTGTCCTGCAAAACAAGGGACTAGTCTCAAAATCTTCTGTATCTCAAGGGAATGTAATTTATTGTCTTTAATAAATGCTAATTTTGGTTTCTCCACCTCCTCCGCCCTCAGGTTTGTGATTTGAGCCCTAGGAGGGTCTCCAGCCAAGCCCAGGACCCAGAGCCAGCATGGGATCCTGGAGCCATCGAGGAGGGCTGGGGACCCTCATCCCTGTCCCCCAGGAGCAGAGCCAGGGTGTGCTCTCCTCTGCTCCAGTGGTGCTCTCCTTCCCCGTGCTCCCTGGGGACACGAGGCAGCCAAAGCAAGGTTTGACCTTGTTTTCACTTCCCATCTTTTTATTTTTTGTGTGCATGGAAAACACAGAGCAGAACGACACGAGCTGTTACGTAAAATCTTGTTTTCTCCAATAGATTTTTGTGGCGGGTGAAGAAGGACCGGGCTGGGCCGGGAGGGAAGGCAGAGGGGCTGGAGCAATTGATGAGGGGGGATTTTTTTGGGGGGTTCTAAGGATATTCTTAACCACGACCCCAGCCAAGCTCTTCCTCAGACAGCCTTCTCCCCAGATCCTGCCCCTGTGCTGGCTGCTCCGTGCCCAAGCCGGTGAAGAGCTTCCTGGGCAGATGCGACGAGGCATTTTTATATGTTTTTATTATTCTGAGCAGAGATTATATCTCAAGGCTTTAAAGAGCTTTCCAACCCCGCGTCCTCCCCCGGGCCTGGGGCTAGCACGGAGCCGCTGGGGATGGCTGCACCGGCTGGCTGCAGCAGCCGGCGCGGATAATCGCGTCTGCCTTTATGCGCGGCTGATTCTGGAGCCTTTGGAAGCAGGACGAGGCTCCGGATGCTCCCCCCGGGGTGATGGAGCTTGGGGTGCCCTGGCTTTGTGTCGGGGTGGATGTGAGTCTCTTCTGCATCAGGGCTTTTCGGCGGAGCGCTACCCAAATGTCACCGCCCCGACTGGAGGGGAAGTGGCAGGGAGCGAGCAGTCCCCAGCCTGGCAGTGTGGCCTCTGTCACTCAGCGTGGCTTCAGCTTCACAGGGAGGAGCGAGCGCTGCCGTGCTCTGGTCCCATCCATGCCACCATCCAGCTCTCCAAAAGGGCTCTTCCAACCCTCATGGCGTGGCTCTTGGGGCCAGATTGTCACCCAAAGAGAGACACGGGGGTGGCAGATGGGTTGTCACACTCGTGGTGCCAGCCCATGGGTTGATGTGAGTTCAGACACTCAATGGGCTGGGGAGAGCTGGGTCAGTGTGTGGAACCAACCCTGGGTTTTCCCAGGGCTCTTTAATCTGGATTAATCCCGGTAGCTGGACCAGCAGCAGTTGTATGGATGGGGCCATCCCTTCCCACAGCAGCTCTCAGGGAAGTTTAATTGCCTGCAAAAAGAAGGAACATTCCCCCAGCCTTGCATGGTGGCTCAATTTTTTCCGCACTTTAACAATTGCTCATTTAATGCTTAATCTATTGGGGAAGCCACTTTTTCATCCCAGGCTCCACAGCAGGAAGGAGGAAGATCCTGTGGCCAGGTAAGGAAGGGGCTGGTGCAGGAGGGCAGGAGTTCTGTCAATAAAATTTATGTTATTTGATCAGTAAAATTTATTTTATTTTATCAACAGGATTCCCTGCTGCCAGCATCCTTCAGCAGCCAGCAAGGGCTCACTTGGACAAATCCATCCCAATCCTGGCCCTATAGGTGAGGGAATTATACAGGGAGTGTAGAAGAGAAAAAGTACATTTTGTGCTTTAATCCACACTGATTCTTTGCTTTAAGTTTTTTAGTCTGTGTGTTGATGCCTGGAGCAGTTGTATGGCATAGAGGCAGCCAGGATATTTGGCTGCAGGGATGCTCAGGATCTGGCAGCAGGGAACATTGGAAGCTGGGATGGATCTCTTGATGGGCAAGGAAAAGGCCTGCTCCTGCTCCCGCCATCCCACACTCTTGTCCGTCCATCTCAGCCTCTCCGCCCCGGTACAGGCAGCAATCCAGCCACAGGAGCAGGGATGCAGGATCGGAGCATCCTCGGAGCTCCCAATGCTTTGAACGCTTTGCTGGGAACACTTTGCTGAAGCTTAACACATCTCGCAGAGCCAGGCGGGGGGGAGCGTGTGCTGCTTTGCTTTTCACATGCCTGGGGGTCATGGTGCCTCCTAAAATAAACCCACTGCGCTTCACGCGGCCTTTGCGTGGTGGCACGTGGGCCGGGGGAGAGCACGGAGCAAGGCTGAAGGGTCGGGAATGGAGGAGAGGGGAAGGGGGGCAGAGGAAAAGGTGGAGGAGAGAATCCTGGCTGGTTTTGAGTGGGATGAACGGAAAGACTGCATTCCCCAGCCCCACGACTCCCTGCTCTGGTGGGGATCCCACTCTCCCGTGTGATGTTTATTGATCATGCCTCGCCATCAGCCTGGGATTTAAATGCCAAGGGCTCAGCTCAGTCCGTGCCTGCTTTCTGCTATCCCTTTCCTGGTAGGGGATTAGATCAGCTTGGGCTGATCCTCATCAGGTATGATCTCCTTTCAGAGCTAAAGCTGCTCCTGCCAATCTTCCCTCTCATTTTCCCCCAGCTCCCAGTGCTGTGTGGGGCTGGATTTGGGATCCCTGGGGGCAGATGTTCCCAGAACTGCTGGCAGGTCTCCTGGTCCTTGGGGCTGGAGGGTCATGAGGATGTATGTCCTCACAGCCAGAGCATCGCACCTGAGCTGCCTTTGTCTGTCTGTCCTCCCAAGGGATGGAGATGAGGAATTTCCCAGAATTACCTGGCCCTGGCACAGTCTAAATGGCGAGCTGGGGGCAGAAAGGAATCTCTTGGCCCAGCAGCCCCAGCCATGGCCTGATCCAGCGTCCTTAATAATATTAATAATAACAACAGTAATGATGATGATGATTAATAACAATAACAACAATATCAGCTTCCCAGCACCCTCTCCTGTGTTTTCCTGGATGACCCACCTCCCCCACAAAACCAAAGTGCCGTTAATCAGCTCCCTCGGGATTTGGAGTGATAAATTCCTAGCTCATGCCAGGTTTTTCTAGGAAGCCTCGCCGCAGGAGCCCACTGCCTGCCGGGATGCCATCTGGCTGGAGCTGTTTCGCCTGGGAGTCACACCTATACTTATCATGGGCTCATCCCTGCAGAGATGTGTCCTTGCTCAGAGCAGCACTGCAGACACCCCACAGTGTCCGAGACTGAGTGTTCTGAAGGTTTCATATTAAAATAGCCAAAAACCTGTGAAAAAATGGGAATTTTGTTTGCTTTTAAACCCGACTGCCAACAACAAGCCACTTGTGGCATCCCTTTGGTCCCAAATGTGACCACAACCAGAAGCGATGCTTTCTTTGGGATGTTTCTCCCTCGAGCTCCCGTCCTTGCTTTGTAAAGGGGCACCCCAAAACCTTGATCAGGAGAATAGAGCTTGAGGAGAAAAATAAATGCATAGACATCTCCTGGTATTTATTCCACCGGTTATAACAGTACCATGGCATGGGGATAGCACAGGAGGTGGAGGGACACTCAACCGAGCACAGCGCACAGCTACAGCACGATGGAGGGGGAGGAGAAGGAGATCTTTCCTTATCACTTTGTTCTTCTCCTGGAAGGAACAAGGACAGAAGTGGATCCCACCCCAGGAGAGGGATGGTGTACACCACTGCTCCAGGGAAGGGCTGGTGTGGGCTCAGCTGAGCACCAGGGAGGAGTTTTTTTCCTCTCTGGTGTTAATTCAGGCTTCAGCCTTCTGGACCTCAACACCCCCCTTCCCACAGGGATGAATGGGATCATATAGCAGGTTATATAGCAGGTCCTTCCTGGCTGGCTCCTTTAGAGGAGCCCTCAAGGTCAGAGGGAGTTGGTGTTCCTTGCACGGACAGGATGTTATTTCTCATGTGATGGGTACGGGATGCAGGGAAGGAGGGTGTTCCGCACCATGCCTCGTCCTTGCGAAGCAAATTGGAGCCTCCCAGTCATTTCTAGGAGGTTGGGTGGAAATGTGGAGGCAGAGACATGGCATATGACCACCACACACGGTCCTTCCCACACTGACAGGGGCCAATAACACTCCAAGGTCATTTTCCTTCCTTGCTATTGCCCCGGCTCTGGCTAAGGACACCCGGTGCCACGGGCACAGGAGGAGGCATTGGGATACAGGGGGACATGCTGGCTTTTTGCTCTAACCTCAGACCAGAGAACAAAACAAACACCACACAGCAGGAACACCTGGGTCAGGGACTCAAGGGGTCACACGGTTCAGGAGGACCCGAGTGACACACGGCAAGGGTGACAACATTGGTGGGGTCCCTGCCGCTGGCAGCAGCCCCCGTCAGACCCTTCGCTGCATCCCCTCCCTGCTCCCCCGCTGTCGCACCGGCCCCGTTACATCACGGCGCATTTTTCCGCCGATTGCTTCAGGTCCTCTAGCGTGGCTGAAGCTTTGTCCTTCAAGGAATCAAGGTCCAGGTTCTGGATGTTGCTGAGCTGACCAATAACCGAGTTCTTCTCTTCCTCCTCCTCGTTGTCCTGCTCGATCATCTTGGCCAGCTCCTTGGGCAGCTCCACGTCACCTCCCACCAGCTGGATCTGGTTGTCGTCCGTTTCGTTCTGGAATGGGCCGGGAGAGAGTCAGGAGGGGGGATGTCACAGTGGGAAGGGGGCTTCTGGAAGCATGTTCAGGGGCATGTCACAGCAGGGGCTTTGGGCTATCTTCCTATTTTAAGGTCCGTGTGGGCAGGTCCCTGGGGCTGAGGGTGGGATGCTGATCCAGAGGGGACATAGCTGAGCCGAGCCTGGGCGCTCACAGCAAGAGCTGAGATGAAAACCCATGCACAGCACCAGTATAAACTGGTTTTCAGCATGCACTGTGGGGGGTTTAGGCACCTAATTAAGCTACACGTATGCCTAACAACTGCTCCCACCGGCGATCGGGATCAGTTCTGCGCCAAGAGCCATGGGGAGACTCTGGATGAGGCAGCCCAGCTGCCAAGCGGGATCAGGAATAAGCAGAAGAAACTTGTCAAAAGATGAGAAGGGACATTTCAAGCACGAGAAAACAGAGAAAGGACTGTGGGGCCAGCTCCAAACAAATCCCTATTTTCCCTAGAGAATAAAAAAATCTGCATCTTTTCTTTCTCTGCCTTTTCTGGCTTTCGGTAGGAGGAAAAAGAAAATCTCTGGCTGTTTATTTCCTGGTGATAAAAGGGGATGGGAAGCAGGGGGGTGTGAATCCAGGCTGGCTGAACAACGCCAAACAATCAGAACAATCTCACTTGGCTTAGCTGGCCCTTCAGAACTAATATTAGCCCGGCTCCAATTTGGAGTATTCACTGCTGAGAGACTCTTCCTGAATAAAGGGTGGGTTTGGAGGGAGAAGAGCTTGTAGTAATTCTAAGAATGGTTGAATTTTCCCTTGATTAAGTTGTTTTTAGTGAATTGTT